AATCCCATCCTATTCTCATCCGCCCACCCCTGTACCCTGTTTAGGTCCGATTATGGACAGACAGACTGAGGCTTTTATTATATTAGAATTAATGGGATGATTCTGGAGTTTTTAACCTGAGAAGTATAGTTGAACATGTATGTATTGACCAGGGTTAGCTGCCTCTCCCTTTTTTAGCTGCGGTATGTCCCTATATAAATTAGTTTTTCTACCCTTACTTTTTTGGTGTGAAATGTCAGGATGCTCTGATTTTTAAAGCAGCCTGTGATTCAGCAGTGCTTATCCAGTAGACCCAATTGGGTTTAGTTTCTGTTGGTCACAGCTCCAGAAGAGAAGACCTGTATTGCAGAAAGTGGTCCCCAAATGGGTTTTAAAACAATAAAAGGACTAGATGCATGTATGTCTTGCCTAAAGCTTAAAAAGGCTTAATTTATTATCTCTAGTTGATGAAGAGGGGTCTCACTCAACCCTGGGTCTGACATCCAATCTCTGAAAAGAAAGCATCTTTTAAATATTTAAAGTGCTTTCAATCTGCTGGCTCTCAGCACTGGGAGTATTAATCTGGAAGTAGCATCTTCACAGTTAAAAGCTCAGGCACTACTTTTTAATGACATCATCTCCCGGCCCCCAGTGTGTTTACTCTGGGTAGCTTATCTGAAACTATTATATTGCATTCCTCTTAAGGTGCCCTGATGTTAAACTAATATGTGCTTACAGTAAGCATTCTAATAATTCTAATTCTAATATAGCCACACAGTAATTATTCTAATAACTAGGTCACATACAGTTTTAATACAATTATTATGGGTAGGTTCTATGTTGTTTACAATATATTTTTAAAGAATGTTCCATTCTTATTATCCATCAAGCATAGTCCAGTAGTCACTACAGGCAGCATTTAGTACCAGGGCCCCAGTGTGGTAAACACTATACAGACTTATAAAACATGGCTAGATGTACACCTTGCTGGGGTCGTTTGACCCCAGTGCTCTTTGCTGCCATGGCAGGGGGTCGGACGAGATGATCTGCTCAGGTCCCTTCCGACCCTAGAAACTGTGAAACTATGTCCAGAGTACTTCATAGTACTGTAGAAAAGTAGGGCTGAAAATGACGTCTGGAGGTCTTTTCATCTAACCCCTAGTGTGAAGCAGGATCATCCTTATCCAAACCATTCCATACAAATCCTTGTCTAATCTGTTACTAAAACTACATAATTAACCCCTGTTACACAACTACAAGCACCCTAACCTGCTACTGGTAGTGTCTAGTCCTGCAAAGTTGGTAAAATGCACTTGAGGGATTCAAAGAAGAGGACCGTGCCCCCTGCTACAAAGGAACGCAAAACCCCCACATTCCATACCAGTCTGACTATGGGCTAAAATTCCTTCTCAATCTTATATGTAGTGATTGATCTGGCCCTGAGCACAGTGGCAAGACCCTCCAGCCAGGAACTTCTGGGTTTTAGTCCCAGCAGGAGCCTTGACCCAGAATCATAGAATTATAGAAAATTAGGGTTGAAAGGGACCTCAGGAGGTGATCTAGTCCAACCCCCTGCTCAAAGCAGGACCAGCCCCAATCCAGCCAAGGCTTTGTCTAGCCTGGTCTTAAAAACCTCTAACGATGGAGATTCTACAGCCTCTCTAGGTAACCTGTTCCAGTACTTTATTGCCTTTTTAATGAGAGTTTTTCCCCCCAATATTTAACGTAAACGTCCCTTGCTGCAACTTGAGACCATTTCTTCTTGTTCCTTTTTCTGCCACCACTCAGAACCACTTAGCTCCATCCTCTTTGGAACCACCCTTCTGGTACTTGAAGGCTGCTATTAAATCCAGCCTCAGTCTTCTCTTCTCTAGATTAAATAAGACCAGTTCCCTCAGCCCCTCCTCAGAAGTCATGTGTCTCAGCCCCCTAACTATTTTAGTTGCCCTCTGCTGGAGTCTCTCTGATTTGTCCACATCCTTCTTGTAGTGGGTGGCCCAGAACTGGACACAGTACTTCAGATGTGGCCTAAGCACTGTCAAGAAGCACGGTTGCCTCCTGTGCCTTGCACCTAAAGCTTCTCTTAATTCTGCCAAAAACCACATTTGCCTTTTGTGTGGCTGTGTCGCACTGTAGATTCATACTGAGTCTGTGATCTTCTAAGACTCATAGATCCTTCTGTGTAGTTGTGCCATCCAGCCAGTTGTGAACAGTCTTGTATTTGTGTTTTGATTATTCTTTCTGAGGTGTAGCACCTTGCATTTGTCAGCATTGAACTTCATCCTGTTGCTTCTAGCCCAGCTTTCTAGTCTACCTGTATCTTTCTGAATTGTGCTGCTTTCCTCCAGTGTGTTCGCAGTCCTTCCCAGTTTTTGTTATCTGCAAATTTGCTCAGAAAGCTCTCTTCTAGCATGCCAAAAGAGTGTAACCAGCAAGACAAGGGAAATGCAAGAGAGTATGGGGGTCTCAGTAACTAGATTATATGCTGAAATGGTCTAACTGTTCCAAATTGCTCTCTAATCCTTCTCTGCCTCTTCCCGCTTCTTTTTTTCATTCTGATATAGGGAGCTGATTCTAGGGCCAGAATGAAATACTACAAAGAGGTTCATAAAACTGAAAAAATATTATGAATTCTGAATACGCTTACAGTTTTACTACAGTAAAATGCCTAGGTCCTTAAAGGAAATCAGATCTCCATTGTGATAGGTCCTACACAGTTATATGAATCTGATGCTTCAGAGAGCTCTGTGTGTGTGGATCCTCTCTTCTCACTCAGAGACAACAGTGTCAGGGAGGCTCTGGAGGGATAGTGTTCTCTCTGGCAGGGTTGGGAGCTTGTGACACATCAGGAGGTGGGTACTCCGATGTGTCCAGTCCAGGGCCACTTGTATACAGCCCCTTCTTGGGGAGTCATGTCCAAACTCCTCCTTGGGACTGTAGTCTGTAATAGTGAGAGTTGCATTGCTCAATCCAAGTAGATGCTGCATCAAAACCCACGCAACCTGCAGGACAGTAGTATTCACAATGCTCATTGCCTAGGGTAGGGCAAGACACGATGACCCTGCTCTACTGGGTCCTGGTTCCAGCCCCCAAACAACTGTGAGAAGCTTTCCACCAAAGCTTGGAGGTCCCTCACCATCCAAAACAACCCCACTTTCCTGCCTCACTGCTGAATCATCCTGTCTGCTGTCCGTGGTCCATCCTGTAGGTCCTCTGTGACTGCTGATGTTCATTGGCATCTACTT